CCTACACAAGGCTAGAATGGGCTACTATACCATCGCCAAGCAGCTTGGTGAGAAGGTGACAACAATTGATGCAATTATTCGCAAATGGATGAAACACAAAATAACTGCCAGTCTCCCTCGGTCTGGTGCTCCATGCAAGATCTCACCTCATGGAGTTTCCATGATCATGAGAATGGTGAGGAATCGGCCCGGAACTATACAGGATGATCTTGTTAATGATCTCAAGGCAGCTGGGACCATAGTCACCAAGAAAACAATTGGTAACACACTACACCTTGAAGGACTGAAATCCTGCTCCTGCAGCACCCGCAATTTCCCCCTGCTCTAGAAAGCACACAGCCAAGGCAACAAAGAAGTTTCTCAAGAAGAAGCACATTAAGGTTCTGGAGTGGCCTAACCAGTCTCCAGACATTAATCCCATAAAAAATCTGTGGAGGGAGCTGAAGGTTCGAGTTGCCAAACGTCAGCCTCAAAACTGTTATGGGCAAATGCAAATATTACAAGTTTTAGAATTAAATGTTGTATTTCTTAAACTGTGTACTTTGTCTTTCAGAGATATTGAAAATTGACAAGGTGTTAGAAATGGAACATATTGTTAATCATAACTTTTTCTTTAAGCAATAACCTCAGTGCATATTATGTTTATGCCATTTTGTCCCAGACGAATTACAATAACAGTAATGCATAAACAAGCTTCAAGGCTATACTACGACTCTTTCAGTACGTAATATACTGTGCTAACCTTAGTAGATAAGGATGTTCAGACTTTAAGATGCCATCTTGAACTAAGTCAGGAAAATTTCCATGACGTATTCACCCTTTAGTTATGGACTTGTATTTTTGCCAAGTTAAGGGAGGTCCTAAAATGAATAAAGTAAAAGAAGTTTTACTTTTTCATATATGAACTACGGTAACCCTAAAATGGAGACACCTAAGGTATAAATAGGTGTACTTTTAAATGTTAAGACACAGAGGAGAGACTTGGAGACAGACGCTGCTCCATCTTAAAATGACAGAGAGGCTGACATGAGGACATGTTCAGAAGGGTATGTTTACTTATTAATGATATTTGCAAGCATTTAGTTTAATCTTATAAACTCTGCTATAATGGATTTTATATGTCTATATTTATATTTTTATATAATAAATATCAAAAAGACAAAATTGTACTGCTTCCAAGACAATCCTTATTTTATATTGTATTCTCAATTATTTATATATGTTAAATAGAGGATCTCTTACACTAACTATATGAAATTTTGGCTAAGATATCTGTATGGTTAGCCCTACTAAGTTCTATGCTTTAAGATGTTATTGTGGTAAATAAGGGAACCAGCCACGGTTACAAAACCTTAATGACTTGGAGAGGATCAGCAAAGAGGAGTGTGACAAAATTCCTCCTGAGATGCGTGCAAACCTGATGGCCAACTACAAGAAATGTCTGACCTCTGTGATTGCCAACAAGGGCTTTGCCACCAAATACTAAGTCGAAGGGGTCAAATACTTATTTCATTCATTTACATGCAAAGCAATTGATAACTTTTTTGACATGCACATTTCTTATTTTTTTTTTCTGTCTCTCACTGTTAAAATACACCTACTTTGTCAGTGGGCAAACATTCAAAATCAGCAGGGGGTCAAATACATTTTCCTTCCGCGAGGTCGGACGCTCTTCCGGGTTTGTCCCCCTAAATGATGCGCGTGCAGAAATTTAACGACAATAGCCGGGGGCACCCTTGAGGAGATTGTCGAGGAGCGAAAATTTCGAACGTCGGTCAGGGGACTCTGGCCGGTTCTCCGATGCCCAGGCAGAGTTCCAGACCAACGGGAGGTTTACTCCCTGCGCCGGCAGGGGACTCTGGCCGCTCCTCCGACGCCCAGGCAGAGTTCCAGGCCGACGGGAGGTTTTCCCCCTTACCCGTCTGCCATCGATATCGTTCCTCCTCGACCTCTCCCCGGGGCCCTGCCCCACCCAAACTTAAACTCATGATAAAATATTCCAAAGGTTGTTAATAAATCTGAATACGTTATGGTCTCTTCAGAAATATAATTTAATGACTAAATATCACCCTGTCAAAACTGGATGTATGAAGCATGACTATGCTATGCTGGTGGATAGATGCAGCTTTCTGAAGCTCTAGGTCTTAGCAAGACCATACGCTTAATTTTGAGTGCCAGCACTAGCATGGGCAAAACTAGTTAAGTTAATACAATGCAAGCTATTTAGATAGATTAGGGGACTGGGCACTCAAATGACAGATGAAATATAACATAGAAAAATGCTAAGTTATGCACCTCAGGGTAAAAAATGCACAAGCAACTTCCTATATGACAAGGAGTTATGGATAATAACACTTGAAAATGATTTGGGAATGTGCAGTGTCGAACAGCAGTTGCTATTGCCAGTAAGGTATCGTCATGTATAAAAAGGGGCATTATTTCTCTGAATGAAAATATAATTTTGCCTCTTTAAAAAATCAATGGTAAGACTGCATCTTGACTATGCTGTGTACTTTTGGGCATCATTCTAAAAAAAGATACTATGGCAGTAGTAAAAGTGCAGAAGCAGACAACAAAATTAATAAATGGAATGGGAATGTTTTGTTATGAATAAAGGTTAACACATTTAAATCTGTTTATTTTATAAACATGGTTCCTCAGAGGATAATATTATACAAATATATTTGGAGCCAATATAAACCATTGTCACAAAATCTGTTCATAAACAAAACTATACATAGGACATGAGGGCACCTATTTAGACTGGAAGAAAGGGTGTTTATTCTAAGGCAAAGGAAAAGGTTCTTTATAGTAGGAACATTAAGGATGTGAAGGATGTGAAATTATGTCTGAAGCAGTGCATTTATCAGAGTCTTTACATATGTTTAAACAGTAGCTGGATGAATACTTACAAAAACACAATATTCAGGGATAAAATTTATTATATGTGGGTAACAGGTTCTTGAGAGAACTGATAGCCATCCTGGTGTTGAAAATAAATTTTTTGTTTGCTATTTTGTTGCAAAATTGGAAAGTGCTTCAAACTGTTTTGTTTTTTTGCCTACTTTTGGATCAATAGCAAAAACTGATGTGATAAAGGCTTAACGTGATTAACGGAAGCCAATATATCTATATAACTATGTATATAGTAATAATCAATCAATGTGCTTAAATGCAGAACCACTGATTTAGTTCTTGGTATCCACTGACAATGATGTTGTGTCTTTTTATTATGGGAACACTATTTTTTTTTCATGTTCTTCTGCAATTAGGAGCCAGTTCTCCAAAAGCGAAGTACCCATCTGAGGTGGTTACCCCGATGAGTAGAGGGGTTCCCACCGCTAGAGGGTGTCCTTCTCCTGAGTGTGAGGGGTATTCACAGCATTTCAGTAGTCATCCAAGTAGTTAAGTTCTTACAAGAGCTGTATAGCAGTTTCCCCCAATAAGAGACAAGACTCTAGATTGAGAGTAAAGTAAGAACTGAAAGTTTAATTGTACAGCTGCTCTTT